AAGTGTTCACATATCCACAGTCAATAAAACGAACAAAGCAGAGATCTTTATTCAAAATACGGCAATCAATGCAGCAAAAAAATTCGAATTAAATTGCTTTAACCCATAGAAAAATCATTCACAAGAACATCAAACAGCGAGGCCCATGAATGAATTTTGTTTACCTGTTTCCAAAAAGGCGAGATTCAGCTGCTCGACTGAAAAAATCAAGAGCTCCAGTTGTTCCCAAAATTGAACCCCAATTTCTATTGCAATTCAAGCAAAAAAAATACATATATATATATATATTATAATGTTAAATGCGAGAAGAATTGCGAAGAACAAAACTATATAATTTTTCACAGTATAAAATATATTTCTTCGCCGTCTTTCTGTAGTCTGCAGCTGAATTTTTGTTTTTTGTCCTCTGAAACTCGGTATTGGTCTGTTTTAGGTCCGAAGTGGGTAAACAACACGCGCCGCGCGTGGCATTTGCTCTAATGGGCCGGGCCCGTGTGTGATTTAATTGGTCTAATAAGTTGCGTAAATAGAATAACTTAGGGTGCTATTGACTGCAAAATATAATCATCAGGTAATTATTTTAATACTTTTTAATTTAAAATTCAATTCAAATATGTGATAATATTTTAAAAGGATACAAATGTATCGAAAAAAATATGCATATCTAAACGAGTTTGTCCAACAACTTTATGAATATCAGTTGAGCCTATCAATGTTTACAATCTTAATTAACATGTTGAGGCTCAACTGATGTTCATAAAGTTGTTGGACAAACTAAGTGGTGGGCATATTAACATGTGTCCACCGTGAGTAGGGGAACATTATTGTTAATCTCAAATTACAAATGGAAAAAAAATATTAATCAATTTATTCATTTCTTGTTACAAACTGAATGTTAAATACACGAGAAACATATGAATTGAAGTGTTAGTTCTTACTTCTTGCAATATGAACTAAAAACTGAAAGCAAGGTACAATACAAATTGGAAACAAAGTACAACTTAAAAATCGGAAAGATTAAAGTTGAGTAAACTATTTTCGCAAGACAAATATGTTCATATAAGCTAACGACTCTTGTGTCTTGTCTCCAAAGATACAACGACTAGTGGCTCATAAGATGTAACTCACCAGACTTCAGAGCTCTGGCAAACATGAATAGAGTTGAGAACTATGAATTATATATGATACGGGATACCATATCGGTTCGACTGGGCAGTGAAACCTGGAAACTAGACCGGATAAAGCAGTAGATCGAGTTGTAGTCAGAGCTCGACCTGTAATTGGGTACAAGGTCGATTCGTCCGCATGAGTAGTAGAAGAGTTGGGAAAGAAGATGTTATACCTAACGAATGTTCTACCTAACGAATGTTCTATCTACTGACGTAGACCTAGTCCTACTTCAGGACAAGAAGGGATCTTAGTAGGGAATAACACCGTATAAGAATTGAACCACGTGTCGCGACAAGATTGGGTCACTTGCACACATGACGAGTTTGACAGTTTAAAGCACTGCATGTCATACTGACGGGCAGCTTGAGTAGTGAAGTCAACTCTCCGAGCAGACTTGGAGAACAAGTCACCACACCCCTATATAAAGGGATATAGGGGTGTGGTAGGTTTGTTCATGTTTCACATTCTCTACACACGTTTCATATATCTATTTATTGTTCGTCATATCCGACTTTGTACTGACTTGGGTATCGGAATTTTTATGGAAAATCGTCTTCCAGTGTTGAGTTCTTGTAGGTTTGGAGGTCGTTCGAGGTAGAGGAAAGCAGATCATTTTGTATTAGCTTGAGTATATATTGAGTGAAGCCTATTTCACTATTAGTATATGATATGATGTGAGATGCAAATGTATATGCATTGTGTCTGTTCTACAGCTCTATTGTGTCCTATTTATACCAAGTACCAAGTTCCACTGCCCAAGTCCTAGGCCCAGGTCTAGGCCCATGCCATGCTCGAGCTGAGCTGGTCGGCGGGGGCGGGGGCAGGGGCGGGGTGCGCTTGTGGCCGAAGTCATCAGTAACACTTGATGCATAACTTTGTTGTTGTTGTTGTAACCTCCACAACTCTTTTATTATAATAACGATAATTAATCTCATTTAAGAGTTGTGGGATATGACTCTTTAATAATTCAAATCTCATAACTAATGTTTTACGTGCTCATTAATAATTAATTTTAATCATTTATTTCTCACTAACAAAAAATCAATTTAGAGAAAATAAATAGACCACTAGTACTATTCGGGACGTAGATTTTTTTTTACAATTCAATTCAACTCGAAATAAATATTTAACTATAAAAAATCAGTCTAAACCAAATAAACTCAAGTTTCTATAACTGATTTTCCAACATTTCTTTCACTTTTCGTCCTTTCTCATGGGGCATTTATATTGTGACTTATAGAGAGGAAAGGTTAAGTTGGTCCCCCATCAAGTGCTAAGTGCTGCCACTTATCTTGTACCTTTTAGAAATAAAAATAAATTCAACTTATGGTCCAACATTTCTTCAGGGCGACACATGTTATTTAGGTGGGAAAAAATAAAAAGAAAGATAAAGAAA